TTCCCTGAGCTTAAAGCGTATGTCTGCTACACGACACAAATACCTAAGTATTGATGCGATTCCAGAAATCCTTTAAAATAGTTAATAAGCCAAGTATAAATTCTAGTAATTGTAACACTTTGAGTTTAAAATAATAGTTGTTTTGATAAATTTGTAACTTTTAGTGAACTTTGCTGAATCACCCACTCGAACTCGAAATCGGACTATAATTCTACTTGCGTCAATAAAGATTATTTTTTTTAAACTTATTTAAAAAGCGAAAACATTTGGAATACTTAATGTTTATTCATAGAAAAAATGAAGAAAGCTCAAAAAGTCTACATTAAACTTGGTCGTGTATATATTTTGACCTCTGTATGTTTAATTTTCGTGTAGTGACGGATTAAGAATACGGAGTGTCACCACCCTTGATCATCCCGTGGGTGTCGTAAGAACCGACTAAAGGAGCAAACTACGCAGGACAACAGCACTACAAAGAGAAGTAAATCTTGAAACAAACCCTATAACAACCCCTCTGGCTACCGTGGTATAGTAGGCCAAAACCTTCTTTGGCTTGTTCTAGTGGCTTTTACAATCGCAAAAGTCTCTACACGTACGCCACCTGGACTTTTTCGACCCACTGCAACGTCTGTCCCGGTCCCATCAGAGACTCGCACTGTTCCTTACTCCGGCTTCCTGGCCTTACACGTTTCCAATACCTCAATTTACCTTATTACATAGTGCTATTTGAAATTCCGAAGAAGAGATGACAACCATTCAACTTTTTTAAATATCTCTTAAAAGTTTAGTTTAGGTTAGTTACGTAAACATTATTTTAGCGCCTACGCTGCATTTTTTTTTTGTTCTACTACTTACTACACTACTAAAATCTTTTAATCTGTATCTTAAGGATTAGATCGAACTTCAATTGCAGCAATAGTAAGTAGTCATGTGGGAGGGAGGGAGTGCTTCGACACGTAACGACGCCTCGATTTGAGTGATACCATGACCTCACAGAAAATGGCTGTTAGGCATTTTTCCGTTGCTGTTCACCGAGCGGGTGAGATCACCTTAGGCTCAACCTTCTCCCCAAACTCTAGGTAGAGAAGGGGCATTTAAAAGGCAGCATGCGAGCTGGTGTTTCATTGCTGACCCGTCTGCTCGTCTGCCCCCTCAAACATAAAAAACACACTTACAATCAGGTGACCCGTCGTCTTAGACTCTTAAGTCATAGACATAGACACACAATAGCAACAATTCGTTTTGTCAAATATTTAGCAAAACGAAGTTAATGCATTAAATGCTTCTGCCGATCTACAACCGCCATATTCCAAGCGGTCGAGCCTTATGAGAAGAAAGGGCAAACAAACTCACGGCCACTCTTTTAAATAACAGCTAGGAACAGTCGCATCACCAATTTAATTTGAAATCATTTTAGTGGGAAGAATTAACATGAAACTAGTAAGTTAACCCACGGTATTTTATATTCCTTTAATTTGATTACACTGTACAAATGTTGAAATAATTCAAAACTGGGGGAAAAATCGCACAGCACCTAACGAATTAAAAAAAAGAATAAAACACCAGAATTAGTGAATTTAATAAAAAAAAAAGAAATCAGAACGTAGCACTTGTTTAACGTTTAGTTTTTAACACAGAACAGTTCTACAAACAACAGAAACTAAATATAAATTTAATGTTTTTGTCTTTCTCCATCTTGTTGAGTGCGACAAACAACAAATTATTTCTCTCGATGTGATTCCAGTAAAACATACTCAGAATGTTGGAACCATGATTTATTTTGTTTATTTGACACATCAAATCGTTTCCGTTCAACCAAATGACTGTTTATAGTTTTCAAGGGAAAAACACTAATCAAATATGAGAAACAAGCCGGTTTGATGGCTTCAAAATGGAATTCGTACAATATTTCTGTAGTTTATTTAAACTGCTATTGGCAACGACGCAGAAATTTGATTTAGGTAACTACATTTTGAGGTTATGATAATAAAGGATTCGATTACGTGCAGGGCTGAGCTGCAATAAAAGATAAATGTATGTAAGTACATATTTATATGATCGTTGTATTTTAGTATCAACAGGTCTGATATTCTGTTTGCAATAAAATCAAATGTGCAATCCGAAATCAAATGTCGGCCGATTGGCGGGAATGGTTATTGTTGCAAGTACATGGTTCATTAGTTATTATTAAACGTCATATTTACAGTCAGTGTTATGAGTATTTACGTAGAGCAAAGCAGAATTATTTTAATTTACACATAATACAACAGATAAAAAATAGTTCGAGGTTTTTTTTAATTATAGTTAATTTATTTCGAGAACCATGTAATTTTATGTTACTTTCTAGAAAAATGAAAGATACGATTGAAAATGGAAGATACATTTTATAAAACAAGCTATAACAGAATTGCCACATATCATAATTAGGATACTTTTTGTAATATTTTGAATTAAGGGCTTTTTATATGGTAATGGCTTCTAATTGCGAGGAGCAGACGCGTTGGCTGTTTCTGGCTATAAGTTTCTTCGAGGGACTTCACTAAAATTACATTTGCCTATCTTTTGAGAAACGAATCCCAACTACAGCTGTGCCGCCAATGTCAGCTGATTTAAAGAATTTCAAGAACAAAGCTAAAACAAAGCACCCATCAATACTGAATTCAAACACGTAGAACGGAAAAATAAAACATTATTTATTAGGCGCGAAAAGTTTTCGACAGTGATATACGAACGGTCAGGCTCTTTGTTGAACTCTTTACGATTGAATACCGATAGGCCATTGATGTTAATGTTTGAAAGATAAAAGCCGACGGTTCATTCACAACACATCCGAAGTTTAGAATTACGTTTTGACTGTCTATGTTTACAATCGTAAGGCAGAAACTTTTGTAGTGCCTTAAATCAAACAATTTTTAATTGCGTTTGTTCTAATTCTAAAACTTAATGCAACTTTAGTTGTCTTTTTGAGTAATTGCACAGTTTTTGGTTGAATTGAAGCCGAGCTATTGGTTTATTAGTTTCGCTTTACGGAAAACCGTGTTGTTTTTGGGCAGCCCTTTTAGAGACGCATTTTTATATGACGACTTCTTATTATATTGCTTTGCAGGCCTGTACTAAATAATACACATTACTTAATTAATACTGTCGGCATATGAAAGTCAGGAGGAGTTGCTGCCCACATCTGCGGTTCTGGATAAGTTCATTATTCCCTGAGCTTAAAGCGTATGTCTGCTACACGACACAAATCGGCAAAATACTGAAGTATTGATGCGATTCCAGAAATCCTTTAAAATTGTATAAGCCAAGTACAAATTCTAGTAATTGTAACACTTTGAGTTTAAAATAATAGTTGTTTTGATAAATATGTAACTTTTGGTGAACTTCGCTAAATCACCCACTCGAACTCGAAATTGGACCATAATTCTACTTGCGTCAATAAAGAATAAATGTTTTTTTAAACTTGTTTAAAAAGCGAAAACATTTGGAATACTTAATGTTTATTCATAGAAAAAATGAAGAAAGCTCAAAAAGTCTACATTAAACTTGGTCGTGTATATATTTTGACCTCTGTATGTTTAATTTTCGTTTAGTGACGGATTAAGAATACGGAGTGTCACCACCTTTATTCATCCCGTGGGTGTCGTAAGAGCCGACTAAAGGAGCAAACTACGCAGGACAACAGCACTACAAAGAGGAGGAAATCTTGAAACAAACCCTATAACAACCCGTCTGGCTACCGTGGTATAGTAGGCCAAAACCTTCTTTGGCCTATGACCAGAAGTGGATTACTAAAGGCAGTTGATAAAAGTCAAGTTGACAAGGTTTTCGAAGTTCGACCGCCAGACGAATTCTAGTAATTAATAAAAAAATTGACATAAACTTATAATATATGATTAGCATTCTTCACAGAGATTTACTAAAATTACACTTCTAAAAGTTACTTTTAAAAAGAAATAAAGTAAGAATTAAAAATAAAGAAATCCCCAAAATCAATATTTTTTTCTGCAAATTCAAAAGACTTACCTACCGACTTAATTTTCACGACTGTTTCGCAACGGCGTTCCGACTTCCACATTTAAAAATGGCTTACACATAAAATTCAATTGTGACGAAGAAATTCCACAAGTGGAGTGTTTTAAATATAATTGTATTTGTATCAGTTCAATTTAAATCTGTTTCAATATAACGTGGCTCGTTTGATTTTCGGTGGAAAATGTGACTTATGTTGCAATGTTCCCGCTTCTTTATTTTTCTTAAAAAAAAAACAGTATTTTCGCATTTGCAACCAGTTATTTTTGGTTTCGACGAGGTTAAATTGATAGTATACTCGTAGTTCAGGGTTTTTCAATCAAGGAAAGAAACCATGGTATACTGAATCTTTGTCTTCCGACCTTTTTTCACAATTTTATTTGGGATCGGGGCAATGTATATTATAAGAAAGGAATAAAATCATAATCATATGTAATAACTCAAATGATTTATAATCATTTCAACTCACTTGTTACTGATTTACAAAACTACTGTTACTTAATTATTATTATTGCGCTAGCTCAAGACTCGCGAAAGGTCTAAATCTAAAAAAAAAGGTTGTCTTTTGAAAAAGAATTTTGATTGATTTAATAATGCCACTTATCTTTGTCATGAAATGACGAATATAGGCCTTTCCTTAGTAAGGAGATTTTGTCCTACTACCTATACAACGCCGGCCAGACGGGTTTGTATAGGGTTGTGTCAAATTTTCCTTCTTTTTGCAGTGCGTAGTTTGCTCCCTTAGTCGGCTCTTACGACACCCACGTAATGAATAGGGGTGGTGACTTTCCGTATTCTCAATCCGTTACTATACTTATATACTCTATACTATACTAAGAAAATATCATTTTAAATTACCACATTTGAAGTACCGGGCCGATACGAACAGCTGCGCCCATTATATAAAACAAACAAATTTGTCGGATTAAAATTAATGTGTAACTCGTTTTGTTTCAGGAGACAGCTGCAGTATGAACAAGAAATCTCACAAGAAAAAGGTCGGTTTATATTTTTATTGTTCCACTTAAAACAGTTTTCATCGTCTGTCTGCATCGCTCTGCATTAATCTTCTGAGTAAAACAATGGGCTTTGTAGTCAGTTATATATTTAAAATATTATGTTTTCCCTACTTTTCCATTCCATTCTATAAAAAAGACAACTCCCGCACTATGAATAAATCCTGTGTCGCGGGGGACTTTATAAACATACATGAAACGGACACAAAGTACACCCAGACTCAGAACAACAATTTGTGGATCGCAAAAGTTTCGTCCCGCGTGGCGTTTGAACCCACAACACACGGCGCAGTAGGAAGAGGCGTGGCGACCGCTTAAACCACGCCATCCGTGCAGTCGAATTATCCGTGCAGTGCAAATTGATCGATCCAGGATTTACAAAGGATGTACAAGATTGTACAAAGTTGTAATTTAAACTGACGTTTCGAATAAATCAGTTTCAAAGATTCTCTTACATACAAGCAAATAAACAGGTACGGCTAATAATAGCGTGTTAAAAAAGTTATCGTAGTTACCTTATAAAGGACATCATTCACGCTTCATACAAAAAGTACCCAAAAAAAAGCCGGCCAACGAAAAAAAATGGTTTTATCGGTTAGAGAATGACTTTCTAAGATTTTTTCTTTAGACAGCTAAGAGCTAAGACCGATTACTTAAGAGTTATATGACTTAGAAATAATAAAAAAATGCATTTATACGAGTTCGTCTGAACAATTTTTACTTCATTACTATAGCAAAAATCAAATAATGATGATAAAGAATAACTTAATCTCGCTTAATAATAATATAATATGACAAAAAGCCTAATTATATACAATCATCATTAGGTACCTAAGTACCTACGTAGGTATTTATGTGTAGGTATTAGTGTTATAAAATATATGTAAAGAAAAATACTTCATTTCGTTACCTACGTGGCTTTATTCATATGTTATAATTCCGCAGGTCTCATTTCGATGGTCTTGCGTTGTTTAGGTTTTTAATTATTCAGAAATAGTTAATTGATACATAAATGTAAATGCTCATTTTATGATTTACGGAGATCCATTTTTGGGTCTAAAAGTTGGTCGTAGACGTTTGTTGTAATAAAAAAAAATGTTTTAAAGATCATTTGCCGTAAGATGACATAGTTTTTTTTACAGGCCTTAATTTACTTTAATTTTTGGGTACATTTTGAATGATGTCCTTTTACCACCATTACATCTCAATTCATACAGGTCGTTATAGTTACGCTATATACTGTAGCATTGTGCAGAGGTTTGTATATAGAATTTATGAAGAAAAAACTCAAAATTATTTAAATACCGAACAGTCGAATGTCGCAGCCAAAATCGAAGCCGTTTGAAAAATGAATACGGCCACCATTCACGAGTTATAATGTAGATTGTGCCAATACCAACATACATGTCGATATTGGCATTTGGCACTAGTGGCGTCGCTGGCACCGCGAGCTGGCATTATGAACGGCTTCTCATAATATATCTAAAACTATAGAGTGTTCGTTTGTGCCAGAGTATTTGACCGGTCAATTTTAGATTTGTGACACTGTCTTAAAATGTATTGATGTAATTTTAAATAAAAACATAATATATGATAATAAAAAACCTTATGCTATATTCATCTTTAGTGGGTGATTCAGAATAATCAAATCGCGTTGTTGTAATCACATTACTAGTTAACCAAATAATAATAATAAATAATAATAATATTGTACCACATTCACACAACGCCATCTAGTGTCCCAAACTAAGCAGAGCTTGTACTATGGGTACTAGATAACTGATATAAATACATATATACTTATTTTTTTTGTAAATACATACTTATTATACATAGAAACACCCAGACCAAATCAAACATTAAATGTTCATGCACACAAATATTTGACTTGAGCGGGAATCGAACCCGCGACCTTTGGAATAGCAGTCCGTTACACAAACCACTACGCCATTCGGTCGTCAATGTTTAGTAATGTTTAGTAAATGTAGTAAAATCGGGTCTATTCGGCCATTCAAAAACAAACAACACTGAATCTCATAACTATTTGATTGATGATTTGATTGACATTGACAACTTAAAGTTGGTTAAGTAGATTATGACAAATTCGAAAAGAAATGAAAATGCTATGGTATTAGAGACAGTGTATTTTTGTTTATATCATACACATTACACAACTTTTTATTGAAATAACATTGAAATGAGGTTTTGGCCTACTATACCACGCTGGGCAGACGGTTTGGTATAAGGTTTGTTTCAAGTTTTTCCTTCTTCCCTTTGCCGTTCTTGTTTATATCATCCGATCAAAATAAACAGAAAACAAATTACAGCGATATGTCTCGAATAAAAGCCAAACAAGAAATTAACTACACGCCAAATGAATATATCATCACGTCTCTGGTTTCTCAAGGCAGCGTGCTTGGTCTGTTGCCGTTTACACCCCATTATTCTTTTCGCTGATGATAATTTAATAATGATAGTGTCCATGGAACTTGTGAGCTAACATTAGGAATAACATAATTAGTTTTGAACTTCTATAGGACCGCTTCAAAGCAAATTTCTTTGATTAATAAATCTTAATAGATTAACTTTATTAGAAATCTTATGTCGAATAGTTGTATAAGAGAATCACAGGCGTCCATGGGAGGCGGTAACTTTCAATCAGAAGGCCAATTTTTGTAATAAAAAAAATCGGTTGTCTGTAAAGTTGGTTTACTGACGATAGTTGAACGTGACAACGTCATAAGAAAATACTGATGGAATGGTTGCATTTTTTCAAAAATGTATTATTGTATACGAGTAGTAGCTGTCCACGCGGACGCATCGCTCACTCAAGTTCCTACTTGAGAGAGACAGATGTCGAACGCTGCCGAACGCGGAGGCCGATTGTGCCTCTTTGTCGCTCGTTCCGCGCTCTCGCTTGCACTTCACGCCTTAAATGGAACGCCTCAGAGCGAGGTAACGCCGCATGAGTCATGTTTTTTCGTGCGTGCAGCCGGCTCCATCGAATTATAAGACGTTGTCACGTCAAAATCTGTCAAAATTCAGTTCCAATCTACTCTCGATCTCACAATTGTCATAAAATGTATTTTCGTAGTAAAGTATTAAATATCCAACATTGACTGTAATGTGATTATATCGTATTGTGACCGAAAGTTGAATCGGTAATCTGCAAGCCTTAGTTATACTTTACTATTTTACTACGAAAATACTTTTTATAACATTTGTGAGATCGGGATCAGATCAGCACTGAATTTTGACCGAATTTTTATGGGTTTCTCTGGTGTTGTGGGTTTTCGTCGGAAGTATGCTGGATGGGGTTTCAACCTGTAAACCATTTGATGATCACAGTTCCAATGCCATGGCCATTATGCTACCAAGTAATAACAATACTGGTCTGATGTCATTTAAAAAAATACATATTCTTATAAAACAGCTCGTTTGTTGAAACCGATCTTTAGCTGTTCATCAACAGCCTTTAATAGTCCACTGCGGGACATAGGCCTCTCCTTAGAAAGGTGGTTTTGGGCTACTACGAGTATACCACACGGGATAGTATAGAGTTGGTTTCATATTTTCCTTCTCTTTACAGTGCTGTTGTCCTGCGTGTGAACGGTATGAATAGGATTGGTGACAATCCGTATTTTAAATGCGTCACCACACGAACACTTTTACATCTGACATTACAGTATGAAACATACATGATAATAAATGAAGCTGTTTTGTCATGTCTGTTTCATACTACCTGTATGTGTGAGCTATAAACACAGTGCTAATGAGGAACTCCATCTTATAGATATAGTTCAGATGGGTATACTTTATTGTACATCAAAAAAGTATTGTGCAATATGAAAATATGTTAAGAAACTGTACAAAGGGCGATCTTATCGCAGTCTGCGATCTCTTACAGACAAGCAAGATGGATTATTCTGTATAAATACTAACGTACGACTTACGACCTTCAAGAACTACAGGCTTTTATGGGCGGCGGTAGTGACTTTCCATCAGGTGACCCGTCTGCTTATCTGCCCCTTCTGCCATAAAAAAAAACGTAAGTAATGGTACTACAAAACAACAGATAGGCAAAAATTTACTTTTGTCACATGCTTTATGACATAGCAGTAGTCATATGTGTGACTTCAGAAATTTATAATCAGTTACGTGTCTAACACTGTCTTCTGTATTTTATAAGAGTTTGTGGATGTATAAGAAAACCAGTGTCGTCAAATCTCGTTATAATTTCTGGCATTTCACCAAATTAATTAATTGGTACAAACCGAATTTGATTGACGGTCAAATTAGAAAGAAGCTCGGTGTGCTGAACAGATTGAGGCAGTATTTTACTCCGGCCTAACGCCTTCAGCTCTATAAGGCGCAAGTCCGGACGCATATGGAATTCTGTTCTCATCTCTATGCAGGGGCACCTCATTACCAGCTTCCGTATCCAACGCATCGCATATAGCATGGAGAGTGCTCCGAGGAATTGTTCAGACTAATACCAGCTACAACTTTCCACCATCGTTCCACACGGCAATATATTCACCCTCATCACCTGGATATTTGGCGCTCCACTACTATGCGCTTTTCGAGACACTTTTTGACCCGCACAACCAATCTGTGGAAGAGTTATCGTCTGCGGTATTTCCGGACTGATACGACCTTCAAACCTTCAAGAAAATAATGTACTCCTTCCTAAAAAGCCGGCAACGCGTTTGTGACTCCGGAGTTGCAGACATTCATGGGCGGCGATGGTCACTTTCCATCAGGTGACCCGTAAGCTCGTCTGCACCGTCTAACAGTAAAAAAAATGTCACTTTTTAGTAGTAGGAGACAGACAGAGGTAAATGACAGTAAATGTTGCCATTACTTATTAAATTATTAATGATAATAAAGTTGACGTTCAAGGCTGCGAAGATTGTTAATAACAACCATTAAACAAAAAAATAAAATAAAATCTCGTATTTTCCTATGTATTTAAATATTGT